ACTCATATAAAATAGTATATATGAGAAAGTATAGAGTTGTGAATATTAATTATGAGATGGTTAAACGTTTTTTGCGGTAAACTTATGAAATATATGAGTGAATGAACTCATAGATAATGGATAAGCATTATATTTTGATAGCCTGGTCATTTATAAAATGAGTTGATATATATGCGTCTAAAAATATGTGTTGCATCATATGATATTTATAAAAGTTTTAAGAGGACTTAAAAAAAGGGTCTGAAAAATATATATTGAAATTGCGCATTTTATTATAAATGTCACAAAGATATTTGTATGGATGGATGCTATCCAAATAGAAATGGTACCATACTGCTTTTAAAATAAAGAATGGAACTACTAGCAAATTAATTTTTCCATTTCCTTATGATAAACTCAAATATGCTGGATTTGCTATTATTTATAAATTCTTTCTTAAAAGAATATTGGGTTTTATAGTTATTTATAAATTCTCCTTAAGAGATTATAAGAGAAATTTAAGAAGACAAATCTCATAGAAGAAAGTCGCATCTAAGGTCTCGTTCATATCACCGATTTGAGTTTTTAATTCTAATTTTGTTACAGTTAAAAACTCTCACAGAAAATTACATCTAACTTTTTTTTTCTATAATAAAAAGTTCTCACATAAAGTTACATCTCAACTTAAATTAAGAATTCGAATCAACAAAACGGGTGTTTTCACACTCTAATGGTCTTATTATAAGTGTGGCGGAAGTGGATGCACTCCGAGTAGGACAGGTGGTAAACTCTTGCAGAAGAAGGTGTGTCTAATGGAGACCACATAACGTCCGACTTGAACAATTCGGTGGTTTTAAATACTCGGTCTAGTTTCATGTCATAACCATTTTCTGACAATTTGGGTTAACAGTTTTTTTTTTTTTTGAAAAAAAAAAATCTCTTATTTGGGAAATTTGAGAAACGATCTAAACCGGATCACCAATTTATTTTTATTTTGATGTGTATTTTTAAGAAATTTATAATATTGTATCTTTTATTTTTCATAGTTTTAAACCTCTACAGTTATTTTGATGTGTATTTTTAAGAAATTTATAATATTGTATCTTTTATTTTTCATAGTTTTAAACCTCTACAGTTTAACCGTAAATGGCCAACAAAAATGGAAAAAAGATGAAAATAGGCCAAGACTTGAGATGAATTAAAATTAATAGGCTAATAGTTTATATAAGTTAATAAATAGGTCAAATTACTGTTTTCGTCCATAATTTGTCTGGTTATGAACCATAACTTAACAAGTTATTGTCCATTATTGTCCATAACTTGTCTGGCTATAAACCATAACTTGACAAGTTTATCCATAACTTATCTAGTTATGAACCATAACTTGACAAGTTATGGCCTATTAATTTATATAACTAAAAATTGACCTATATACTTTCTTAAACTTTTCATATCGACCTATTTTTTACTATTTTCTCACAAAAATTAACACACGAACAAAAATTGGGCCTTTTTATAAGGCCCAAATGTGGTTTATACAAAGGCAAATTATTCCAAGGAATTATTAGTACCAATGCTTATATAGTACACTCATCTAATAAAACCTTCACATTTGAATCATTTTTTAATGTTAAATTTACCTACTCATCTTCTTTCTCTCTCATAATGTACTCTTCTTTAATTGTTTAATTACAATCTCATAAATGCCACATTTAAATCTTATTATTAATTAATATTTCAATCCAGAACTTGGAGGACAAAAAATTGCTACAAATACTAATGACTTATTATATAAAGCAATTAAAAAAATTGTTATGTGAAATACGTACTGATCATGAGATATATAGCAAAGAAAGAAATCAAACACAGCTTAAAGTCTTATATCTTGCATTCCAACGGAACTTTTATATATAATGTATACATTAAAAAGAAAATGTGATATTTTATGCAGAGCTCGTTTAGTTCGTTGATTCGAGTTTTTAATTCGATTTGAAATGTGACTTCATGTGAGAACTTTTTACTGTAGTAAAAAAGTTAGATGTGGTTATTTTTGATAACTTTTTACTGTAACAAAACTCAAATTTTAAACTCGAATCGGTGAAATAAACGTGGTTATAATATATATCTTTCCAAAGGATATGATTAGTTTTTCCATGATATTATTAAAAAATGAAGAAGTTTATTAGATTTTCAATACATATGTGCATATGTACGTATTCATTTCATTGGAATACCGATATACAAAAATATAAATTTATATATATATATATTGATACATTTTCTTTCATGTTTCAATATGCTGACGTTGGTCAACCTGTTAACTTGTATCTTTTTAATTTTTGTTAATTCTTGTCAAATAAAATAGGATAGTTTTTTTAAGTGTAGAAAGTAGCATTTGTTAGCATTAAAACATAACATTTTCAGCAAAAAAAAAAAAAAAAAAAAAAAAGCGTTTACAATTAATTAATGTGGTAGATTCTAGGTGTAGTGTTTTTAATTTATATGAGAGCTTTTTACTGTAGCAAAATAGTTAGATGTAACTAACTTGAATTCTAAACTAAAATCAGTAAAATAAATGGGACCTGAATCATTCTGCAACTATTCTATAACTGTCAACAGGCACGGATGCACCTTAGGACAAGTGGAAGCACGTGCCCTCACTGGCAATTAAAATTAATTATATACAATGCTGGTTTGAGGATTATTTGAGTAATCTTGACAAATATCCTTTGAAATACACGAGTCATAATTTTTATTATTTATTTTTGACTTATAACCTTTTTAGTCAAATAATTACTCTAACAAAAGAGTATTTATCAAAAATAAAAAATAAAGATTTAGACTCGAGTACCTTAAAAGGTAAATTCTCTATTTTTTTTTTTTGGGATCATTTCTCTAAGAAGTGTCTTCTGTGCCCTCACTAGTCTACCGAGTTGTGGGCTTCTTTTGTTGGGCTTCAACTAAACTTCTCATAATAAGTTGGACTACTTGTTTAAATTGAGAGAGAAGCGTGTGTGTAACTATTAACTTTATTTTGTTTGACCTTTTATTATTTTGCTTCACTGGGATAGTTTTCCATTCTCTGCCTTATTTCTCTCTTAATTATATTTAATTTTGTGTTAGACTTTCTTTTCATTATTTTCTCGCCCAAAACTTTATTTATTTTCTTTTGTTTTCTACCATTTTTGTTCAATTTTCAGTTTTCATTCATTTTTTTCTTCTATCTCCTTTTTTTTCTTGTCACTTTCTTTTCTTTAAATTTTTCTTCAATACTTTTATGTCAAAAGTTTGATTACTACCCAAAATTCATCAGCTTCAATACCCGGCAATTAACTCATTATTAAAGTATGATTAACATAAAAAACTTTTGTAAGTGATTATAGAAATTATGAACCTTTTTAATTTTACAAGATTTGTTTGATGTCAATATTTCTATTTATAAACATTAAAACTATAAAAACAGGTTACTTAATGATATTTATTACTAATAAAATACAAAAAAAAAAAAAAAAATTGTACTTTTTTAATTAGTTCAATTTATAAATTTTGCTCTTAAATTTTGCTCTTAAATTTTGGATCCGTCACTGACTGTCAAGTTTGGTTCGCACTTTTTCTACGACAAACTTGGCTGTTTATATGGGTGGCACACCTCTATGATAAGAATGTTTCACCAAGTTGAAAACAGATGACACCATAATTTATCAAAAATATCCGTCTTTATTTACTGATTATCAACCTATATTTTATACAAAGTTCTTTGAAATTATAGCTTCAGCATATGAACACTTTAACACATATAATTACGTACTCTACAACTAGCATAAGAACTATGTTGAAGAACGAAAACCATATTATTTACTAATAGTATCAATCCTTTATTTCTCATAATGTCGCAAAAAAATAACAAATACATGATTCTCTTATGCCCGAGTCAAGAAATACAGAGAGAAACGAAAAGTAGATACAAACACTTTTTATGCTAAAAAACTGCAACATTCCAGAATTTTCAAAGCAACCAAAGACTAGCAATAATGCCAGAAATCCATAAATTAAAGGATTTACTTACTCTCATCTTTATCTTAAAATTAGCCGAATTAACAAGCTGTTGCAGACTTCCAAAAAAAAAAAAAAAAAAAACTAATTTAACTGTAAACACTTGCTTCTGATGAGACCAACTTGGCCATGGCAAAGCTAAAAAGAAGAAAAATGATCCCTTGATTTTGTAAATGACTCTTAAGTAGCAAAGGTGACATGAAAAACCTTCCACGCCAAAATATATTGTCTAGGTTGAATAGACTTGCGCCAAATCTTAAAGATGATATTTGTTTCTTGTATTCATTTTTTATTCTGAATCATGATTCATGATTCTTTACAGTGTTTTTCTCTCACAAAAAACATACGCAAAACATGAATGGTTCTGAATCATGATTCTGAATACATGAATTAAACGTCACAAAAGTCTACATCCTTAGAACATTCTTGCAATGCATAGTCTACATCCTCAGAACATTCTTGCATGCATGCTCCTCCAAAAGCACGTACTAGAATAAGAGGTAAAAATTGATTTGTAGCATGAGATTTACTAATCCCGTGCTACACTCCGTAAACCGAAAGCTCCATAAACCCAATTGCTACGAAAATATTGTTTATTTTACTTGTATTTGTCTGAACATCTGTTAATCCTGCTTTATTTTTTAAATAAAGAATCATTATATGATCTTATAAGGTTTTTTTCTCCAAATCAAATTCAATTGGATTCATAGATTCATATGACAGATTATAGATTATAAAATATTCATAGGACCTTACATTGGTTGTGTGAAATAGTTTTAAGGTTGAGCGTACTGCAAAGGGATACTAATTAGGTACAAGCTCGGTGATAATTTGTGTGGTGGTTTTCTGGCGTTCTATTATTAGTACTGTAATTCACAAAAAAATAAATAAAATATAATATAATATAACAGAGAGAAAGAGAAATAGCGGAGAACTTGGAGCAAACATTCTAATAGAAACACAAAAAATGAAAAGATAAGGATTGTGGGCTGAGAGCTGCATATTACTAATCTTTACAAAGAAACGAAGTTACAGATTTATTTTTCTACAACGAAAGAACAGTTGAGAAACGTGATTTAGCCTTGTATGTAGTTAGGCCATTGGAAATATTACAATATGTTGCGACATTTGAACATAAGAATGTATTAGAAACAAAAAAGAATTAGGCGACTTACATTTTAACCGCCAGAATCAGGTGACAAATTAATAAAACTGGATGAAAAATCTGACGGTTAAAACTGTAGAAACTGTTTATTTTCTACTTCTACCTGCGTTTTCTATTCTTGTATCTCTCTTTTTCTCAGTGCCAAGCAGAAGCTGAAATAAGATTCCTGTCTTTCCATCCCAAAAGCATAGCCCCATCCTTCTCAGCCAAAGTGTAATGCTCAGAGTAACACCTCAACAAACTCCTTATAACAGAGTTGACATAAGAGCTCAAAGGGTACTGCCGAAAACCCGCCATTGTCAGCCTCGATTTCCACTTCCCGAAAAGCTCGTGCCTCTCCACTCTCTCCTTCCCCTCACAGGCAATCACGTTCACGATGTCCCTCGCCAGGCAATGCTGCTCGACATTGATCCGCTGCTTCGAGTTCCTCAGCAGTGTCACGTCGATGGACTCGAACATCGCCAGGTAGTAATCCAGGGTCTCCACAAACCGGTGATAGAATGGCGTCGTGTTCGTGTTTGATTCCTGCTCGACAAGTGTCACTACCCTCGGGGACAATGACTTCACCATCCGGAGTAGCCCATCGCGGGGATTCTCCAAATCGACGCTCTCGTCGGGCGTGTGGTGGAGCTGGAGGGGGAAGTTCACTGCGAGGGCCTCCCCAGGGCGTATGCCGAGCATTTCCCTTGTCACGTCGGAGGCAAAGACCGGCACGGCGTGGAACTCCACAGGGATGTTGAAGTTGCGGGATACCGCTGCTAATCTTCTCCCCACGGCCTCTAATCCGTCGCCACGGGCATATTGATTGACAGGATCATCGATGCCAGTAATTCGAACATGAGGAGGTCCATTAGGCCTAGCAGCCAGAGCTTGTAGCAGGGTCAACCATTGGGTTCCTTGAGCAATCTGGAAGTCAATTATGTGAATTCTGTCTTCGTTTCTGCAAGCTTCAGCAATGGCTCCATTGGCTGCCATATAACCAAACTTCAAATAAGGACAGATTTCATATAAGATTTGCATATAAGAAAGCAAGTCCTTGCTTTCAGGTTCTCTGCATTTCAGCGCTCTGTAAATGTTGGTTCCTGAGGCCTCCTTTCTCGCCACCATTCCTTCCACCATGTAGGCTCCAAGGCGCTGGATCGGTTCACCGGAGATGGACACAACACCGCGGGCCTTCTCGATAAGTTTCTCAAACATCTCATTGTTGTTCTCGGTGAGTGCTCGCGCACAGGCGATCAGGAGTTGCTTCAGATTACCAGGAGGAATGTCATTCTGCTTCAGAAAAACCTCATCTTCAATCGCCTTGTGTCTCTTCTCGGTTTGGGAAACCTCAATAGACTGCCAAGGCCTAATGACGAGAGAAGTCTGCCGCTGAATTAGACTCGGCCCTTGGCGGCTATCCTCCCTCCACGACATTGATCTCTGAACCGAACCTTGCTGATCTCCGAACAAGGTCTTCGACCGGGTTACCTCCTCCTCGTCGGGGCTCATCAAAGCGGTTTCTAACTCAAGCAAAGCGTTTTTGAAGTTCCGAGCACAACTCACATCCTGTTGCGAGGGAGAATTCCTACCGGAATAAAGCTGAATGTCGCAGAAACCGTCGGCGGAAGGGCTCAACCGAGGGAAATAGCTCCCCGTTTCGAGCGGCGAGCTGCAAGGAGGACTAATCCCGGACAGATTCTCAGTGGAACTGTACTGCTCCTGACTATCACTTAGCGTGGTGAGGGAATCGGAGTCGAACTGTGACGAAAAGGGTGAGGACGGCGAGTTTCCGAACTCGAATTTGAGTGATCCGAGGAGCTTGTTTGGTAAGGAGGAAGATGTGTACGAGGAAAGAGCTGCACTAGAAACGCCAATTCCAAATAGCTGGTGCGAGTCCATGCTATAATTTTGACATCAGCTGTTTGTTGTTGATGGAGAAAATTCCACTGATAATTTTGCCAAACCAGGAAAGATGAAAGTATAAGTTTTGTTTCTTTGTTCAACAACTTTGATTGGAATGGTCTCGGACTTTCTTAGCCTTGGTGATGAGAAAAATTGACCTGTAATGTCAAAGCAAAAAAAAAGATGAGCATGAAAATGGCCAAGTATGAAATGCATGACAAAAATTCATGACACAAGATAAGGTATTGAAAGATATACATATATATATACACACACACACACATATTCATATATATATTGAAGATTCGATGTAAATGTAATCAAATGTAATCTAAAATATATTTTATAAAATAATAAATTACAGAGTGAATAAAAAAAAATTATTTATGTATCTTATGTTATATCTTTTCAAAATCATTTTTACATATGGTCCGTGCTGACCGGTCTTTTTTCGGCAAAGTCTGAAATTATATTTGTCAACTAATCGTCGTCTTCAAAGTGCAAGATGATAAAGGTGAAAATAAACTGTAATATTAGAAGTTAATTTCTGAGAACAAAGAATCCTGGGTCAAGCAAAGGACTTTTTTTTTTTTTTTTTTTGCTGGGGAAGGGGACGAGAAATTGTTGTTGACTTCCACAAATTTGTTAACTACCAATCATTATTGACTAAAAAAGATTACTAAAAATTGATCCTAATTAAATAGCATGATCAGAGAGCTTGGAAAATGGAGAAAAAAACAAAAACAAAAACAAAAACAAAAAAAACAAAAACAAAAACAAAAAAAAAAAAAACAAAAAAAAAACAAAAAAAAAAAACATAGGCAGAGATATTCGCAAGCTAAGTTAAACTTTGCTTTAACCTAAAGCCATAATTATTCTATAAAGAGACCTCTATGTATTAGGCATTAATTAATTATGACTTTTAATTCTCTGAAAAACTTGAGAAATTAATTACAAGTGCCCACTAGATTTTCACATCTGTTTTCACTAAAATGACAAATCCTACTCAAATTAAGCTAAAATCACCAACAGCCCAATTCATTTCTCAACATTTCCCTCAACCCAAATAAATTAAAAAAACATCTTTTTTCACTAAAATCACAAATCTCACTCAAATTAAGCCAAAAGAACCAACTACCCAATTCATTTTCTCCATTTTCCTGAACCCCAGATCATCAAAAATAATAAATAAATCAACCAAAACAATCAAATAGCAACTCAAATCTGCATAACTAAAAAACACACATACAAGAAAGAAACGAAGAAAGTACCTGAAATGAAATCTCTGTTGGCTTAAATCCTCTTCTGGCTCACTAGAAAAATCAAGCCTTTTTCTGAGAGGCTTCTTCTTTTGACTTTCTACAGTCTCTTCTTCAACTTCAACTTCAACCCAAGAATCTCTTCTTAACCTTCCGTTGGTTGATTTTTCAGTTCAAATCCGACGACTCTTTTCCGTCTCTTTAGAATTTGTGAGCTTTCTCTTCGCAGCGAAAAAGAGAGGGCGGAAACACAAATCAATATATAGGGAGAGTACTTATGACGGTGATGACTTGTACGGGAATTAACGGTAACGGACGGACGTTTGGATTGTTATTTTTAAATTAAATTGTAAGAGAGGGGTCATTGTTGTACAGCGGAGTTAACGTGCATAATTGACGGAGCTTCGACGGCTGACCCTTCCGACCATTTATCACACGTTCAACCTGAGTATCGAACATTCTGCGCTTTTTCTTTTTCTTTTATTTATTTATTTATTTTTATTTATTTATTTATTTATTTTGTCATTGCTGAGGTGGCCGTACGCGCCGTTTTGGAGTTGGAGGATGACACACGCTGTGATATGATTATGAGGTGATTTGTGTGGTGCGAACTGGGAGGTATCTACCTAAAATGCTGTCGTTTCCTGAATGAAAAATTTTATTTTACCTAATTTAATTTTTTTTAACTAAATTCTCACGTAAAATCACATAATAACTTAAATTAAAAATTTAAATCCATAAAATAAAGGAGACCTTAAAAGATTGAGTTCAATTTGTTAAATTTTTCTTTAATAAAAGTTCCGATCGTGAGTATTAATATTAATAATTAGATCTTATTAACATCAAATAAGATCTAATTATTAATATTAATAATTAGATCTTATTAACATCAAATTTAAATAAAAATGTATATAAAATTAACACAATTTAACATAATGTTAACAATTTAAATGACGCCAAAATTTCTCTTGAATTGAATGTTGTTATGCAGCTTCTTGAAATTTTTTTTTCTTATTCCCATCCATCCTAATCAACAAACAAGCTATAACATAGTAGCCAAAATTATCTATCATTTAAAAAAAAAATAGCCAAATTTATCCTAAAATCTAAGTTCCTAAACCCCAGAAAAAAAAAATATATATATATATATATATATGTATATATTATTTCCCCCTAACTGCATTTACCCTCATCTTCAAAAATCAAATCAATATCATAAATAAATGATATAACAATGAAACTGAAGTAGTTGGGCACACGCGCTGCTAAGTGAGAGTGAAATCCGGGTGTTATTGCAGTTCTCACGTGGGACGCAAAAGAGCGTGTTGGAGAATGGTGGGATCACAAAGGGTCACGTGATACGAGCGTGATAGATTAGCTAGAGCGTGTAGGGAAAATGAATGACCAGGTCATCAGTGACACTAATGAAGGCTACGCGCTGCCACGTTTAGATAAGACTGCGCGCTTCTTTTGACGCCTTTGACCTCCCTTGCCACGCGTTTCCACGCCCCCATGGAATCTCTCTCTTTCTTTAATCTAATCTAGACTAGATATATTGGGCCCGTTTAATTCACTGATTTGAGTTTTTAATTTAAATTGATATGTGATTTTATATGAGAGTTTTTTATTATAATAAAAAAGTTAAATGTGACTGTTTCTGAAAATTTTTTACTGTAATAAAACTTAAATTCTAAACTCGAAACGGTGAAATAAACAGGGCCATAATCTAAGGTCCGCTTTGTTTCATGATTCAAAATTAAATTTTTGTGAAGAAAAACGTTGTAACAGAACTATTAAATCGATATTTAAATTCCTCTAGTAAACATGTTTTAAAAATTCTAACTATTTATTGAGACTTTCTCTTTTAGAATATCTCTACTAACTGTTGATACTTGAATTCGTATCAGGCCCATTATGGGTGGAGGCTCAATCTTTTGTATCCCGTGACTTTATGTAAGAATTTTTTATTATAATAAAAAAGTTAAATGTGACTGTTTCTGAAAATTTTTTACTGTAATAAAACTTAAATTCTAAACTCGAATCGGTGAAATAAACGGGGCCATAATCTAGGGTCCGTTTTGTTTCATGATTCAAAATTAAATTTTTGTGAAGAAAAACGTTGTAACATAACTATTAAATCGATATTTAAATTCCTCTAGTAAACATGTTTTAAAAATTCTAACTATTTATTGAGACTTTCTCTTTTAGAATATCTTTACTAACTGTTGATACTTGCATTCGTATCAGGCCCATTATGGGAGGAGGCTCAATCTTTTGTGTCCCGTAACGTAATTGGGCTCATTTTGTGGACTCAGGCCACGCTTGAAGAACTCCCGTGGGTTGTAGTTTGGTGGGCCATAAGTGATCACATATGCTCATTTGTCCTTAATTTGACCTAATTTGAAACCTGCTTAGGGAGTTTTCAGAATTAGTCAAATTAAGCATGAATCGGTGATGAAGGATTCAACCTAAGAAAGCCTTCCCCTTATCTTTGGAAGCCCAAAATCCTTTATTTCATTCCTTGAAAGGCCCAAACCCCAAGTCTGATCCTTTAGAAATTTTCTCCAGCTCAAAGGCTTGAGAAATCCATTAGTTTTGGCTCATTCGAAGGCTTTTCTCGCGATCAGACATGCCTCTCGGAGCACATCTTGTGTTAGGTATACTTTCCTACCTTTTCTCTGTATCGGGTTGTCTATTTGGAGCACTCGTGCACATTTTTGTAACCTGGTGTCGGAGCAGTATGTTGTCTACAATGACTGCTTGGTCATTCTTGTACAAACAATATCCGACGAAGATCTGACACGCAATTAGACCCCCCAAAAAAAGAGACTTTGGAGCACTTGGTTGAGTCAAACACTCTTGGAGATTTCAGGTCTGAAATCACTTCGCGTTAGGCCAAAATCAGGAACTTAGCCTTCAAGTATTTCCACTTCTAAGGTGTCATTTTGCCTCTTCCGACAAGGTAGCTAAGATTTTGCTCCAAACGGAATTACTTGTGTCTTGCTTCATCAGAACGTTGCCGGAGCAAATTTCTAGAAACTTTTCAACTCATTTTTTGTGAGTCTCTTTGTCAAAATCAGAAAGCTATCTCACACCTTTCCTCCGAATAGGAATGCTCCAACAGCCCGCCGCCGTTTCTTCCACTCCATAATCTTTTATTCCGTTTCTGGACCATCTCTTTGTCAAACCAAGAAAGACCTCTGATAGCCTTTCTCCAACTAAAAATAAGTGTTTAGACCCCCGTCAAAGTAGTTGTCAAGCACTTTCATCTCTTCCTATAAATACCGCATTTACCTTCTTCATTGCAACAAGAAACCAAGAACACACATGCACATCAGAAAACACCATCAGAGTGCTGAAACTCTTGAGAAATCATCTTCCTTAGAATGCTTTCTTCAAGTCTTTTGCTACAAAGACTTAGAGTCTTCTTCAAGTTCTTGAGGAACTTCATAGTCTCTAAGGGGGCGTTTGGTATGCGAGAATCAGTAGGAATCGTATTCCCAGGAAAGTGATGGAGGGTAATATGATTCATAGGAATAATACATTATTGTGTTTGGTTCTATACATGAATCCTTTTCAAATTCCTAGGAATATTACATTAATGTGTTTGGTTGTTTGCATGGAAGATCCATAATAATAATAATAATAATAATAATAATAATAATAATAATAATATTTATAATTATAACAATAACAATAACAATAACAACAATAAGAATAATAATAATAACGACAATGACAATAATAATAATAATAATAATAATAATAATAATAATATTCTAATGATTTTAAGATTCCTGGGAATTTGAATAACACCATGTTGGGTGGTATTCAAATTACCTTAAAATGAAGGAAAGTGAATCCTATGGTAATCACTTTCCTGGGAATCTAAAAATTATAATTCTTGTACCAAACATGGTAATATTACAGATTCTCATTCCCATCCTTAAGATTACTGCATACCAAACGCCCCCTAAGTGTTAACCTCATTAGAAACTCCTTAAGAACACTTTCCAAATCCTTTTCCACCACTATCTTAGTGATTACAGAGTTTCTTCACAATTTTCAAGAAGTATTCAAACCTCCAACCTCGAAGCCACTCTTGTCCACCGTCGAAATGAGTGCTCCAAATGGTCTCTACACTCTCGGAGTGACCTGCATTTTCCCTCGGAGCTCTTTCATCATACTCTTCCATATCACGTTTTTCCATCAGCGCTTTAACCACCAGCGAAGCTACATACTCAAAGCCTCCAAAGCAGCCTGAAAAATGCTTTTGTAACCCTTCTCTATCAAAAGCCTTATCCACCTCTTGAGTCACTCCTCCATCAACTACGTGATCACTCCTCCCACCATTTTTCATTCGCGAAGTTCTTCATTATTATTTTTCAGATTTTCTAACATTTTTTGTATGAGTATTTTCATGATTTTGGCAACAAAGATGGTCCTAGAACACGTGTTGTTTGGCCTAATTTGGGCCTAGGCGAACCACACTATTGTCAGATGTCCTACCGTCGTCATCTACTTTGAGGGCCCGTTAAGTGTTTTGGCCATGTTGGAACCGTCACCAACGAGTCAAATACTTACACATACACACCCTCGCCACATCATACCCTCCGAATCTACCAGACCCCGACACTCACCAATTAATTTCTAGCCTTATTTTGTTCACTGTTAAGATTGTGTGATTTGTTTTGAATTGTGGTGATTTAAATTGTTGTTCGAACTGCCTTTTGGATATGTAAATTAATTGTAATTTAAATTCAGAATAAACTGTATTTGGATAAAATGTGAACAACTGTCATTAAAATTTTGTAACAAATCCTATAAAACCTCATTGTAAATATTAAAAACATATGCAATATAGATGAGGATTTATTCCTCTCTTCATTATGAACACATTAAGAAAATCATCTCAATCGGAACTAAAACAAAAAAGTTATGACATTATTAAACTTAAAGTTAAGAAGAGAGCAAAAGTATAGTCTGAATTGTTTTCACTATAAAAATTATTCGGATTGTTAGAATTTAAGGAATGGGGTAAATTCTAAAATCAAGCGTTTGAATTATTGTCAATGATTTGAATTTTCCTTATTTATTAAACATCAATTTGAATTCTAAACTATAATTTAAATTAAATTATTAGATTTAAGTTGTCGAAATAAATATGAACTTTAAATATTAAATTTGATTAAAATCAAATTAGATTAAAAATATATAAAACATATAGTTGAAA